CATGTTTAACACACCCACCACCTTGATCAGGCACATTACATTACAGGCACAGTACAGCGGCACCTATTCAATCATTTTCTATACCTGCCTAAACCTTATTTGATCACACGGTGTGGGGTCTACCTCTCACTGAGAGGAGGGGTCCTGCCTTGACTCTTCACAAGTCCATCACATGGCAACACATGGAATCACCCCTAACAGTTAGTTAAAAATCTTTTTAGCTGTTCAGGACAACTCAAGATAGAACCAGGGCCTGTATCGGAGTACATACAAGCTTTCCATCCTCATGAATAAATCCAGTTGGGATTTGAACACAGAATCATCTTGCTAGTAGACAATACAAGTGTGATAATTAAATTAACCGGTTAAAGTTAAAAAATAAAAATAAAAAAAACTCAAGCCCAAGACCTCATTGAGTGAGAAATTCATATTCTGCATTGACCTTAATATTCACTATAACCATGTTGGTATAAGTTTAACAAAATCTCTAAAAACCTCCTCTGCTTTAAAACAACAGAAGTTAACCAGGGACACAAGCTTGTGGAACTCCCAATTTAAGATCAGCAAGAATTAAAATAATTTTTTTTAAACTGTCATTCTTAAAAGAATCTGTAAGTTTAACACCTTTCTCCAATAAAATGTGTCCAAATATTCATGAAAAATCTTTTACTCACAGAAAATGAACATAATTGGACTTTTTTAAACAGAAAATACCTTTCCTTTTTCCATTTTATTGGCTCTCTGACTTTTATCCTTTGAGGTTAAAAGAACTACTGAATAAAATTAAGATATTTAACTAAGCATGAATCTAACTGCCTCTGTAAACTATTAATTAAAGTGGTAATCTTACATTTTAAAGGGGAGCTACCTGTTTGGTATTAATGGAGTCATATTGTTTACCTTTCAACAGCGCCTCCGTTGCTCCTGCAGCCTGTCAGAAGATGCTGTTGATGCCTTCAAGAACAAAATTCATCCAAGTCGAGCCTGTTTGTGCGGCTCTCCTTGTAACATATCCCAATGAGTTATCACTTGGAAACCGGCTCTTTCCGAGATGAAAAAAAATAATAAATGTGGTCAGTTTTCGGCTTTTAAACCAGTAGACCTTGTCTAAGAAATGGTTTGAGTAAAAATTGCACTAAATAAAAAGGAAAAAAAAGTTTAAACAGGAAAAAAAAAAAAGATTTTCACACAGGCTTGAGGCAAATAATTGTTTTAATCTTCCACAGATGATCTGCAGAGGCTCTTCTAAAGGTGCATCGCCCAGTTGCGACGCTGGTCAACTGAAGCAGAGAGAAGCTGAGAGCAGGCTGTCCCACAGGAGGAGGAGGGCGGAGAGGAGGAGGAGGAGGAGAAGGAGGAGGAGAAGCTGCATATCTATGGCTGCATCCCTCAGCCAGCTGTTCCGACTCTTCGGATGGAGGGCGTACCTTTACATTGCGTAAAAATCAGCAGTCAGTAAGCAAAAAAAATATTTTTCTTCACCCTAAACATCTATTTTTTTCATCAATGCAAAGGAATAATTAACATACAACGAAGATACATCACAGACACTATTTGTAAAAGAAAAACTATACTTTCCATACTTATGTTCATGCAACTGTTTAACTTTACAATCCACCCCCACGCAAACACTAAAGAGCAGATTGCCGACCTCTAGTGGTTAAAGTCTGACACTACAGCAAATTCGAATAAACTTGGAATACAGGAACATGGATCATTCCCCAAAAAATAAAATAAAATGGCTCCTTTTTGCTGAAGATGGAGGCTTTTTGATTTAATTATTATAAACATAGGCAGATGGTTCAATTTAAAACTACCCTTGTCAACCTGTGATGTTTTGACTCAATGGATGTTACTTTTTATATAAAGCAGATTGTATCACGGTCTTGGTTCTGTTATGTTTTACTTTGCTCCATGTTTTCTGGTTTTATTCCTATTTTGTTGTATTTTCTGGATATATTTGAGTTCTTAGGTTTTTATTTGTTGCCTTCTTGTCTTGGTCTCCTTTTCCCTAGCTCCTTTCTAGACTCCTTTCTTCACACCTGCTCCCAATCAGCTCGTTAGTCCTCTCTTTGTTCAGTCTACCATAAATACTCTCCTTGTGCAGTTCCTCGGTGCTGGTTCCTGGTCTTACTACATCTTACTTCATCTTTTCCCATCTTTTCCCATCTTTCCTTGGCTCCTCGTGATTGTTTTCCCTGATGTCTCCATGGTTCTGGTTTGTTTTACATTTTTAAGTTGGATTTTTGGATTCCTGCCTCAGTTTTTTGTGAACCCTCAATTAAATCTTCACATAACTCACATCTGCCTCTCTTCCTCTACATATCGGTCCTCTAACCTCAACCAAACTTTGACAGTTTGTTCCTTAAGTAAATAAGATTGGTTGGTGTAATATATTTAGTTTATGTTTATTATGTGTTACTCTATGATATGGCCTTTATTTATGAAACTGGAGTGGATAAAACTGACCGCACATTGGCACTAGATAAGCTTTAACTACCTTTCTACTTCTTCTAACTTTAGTTGAATTCCTTATTAGCTCTCAGCTATAATCATGAAAGTCTAAATAAATAAAGGTTTGAATTACAGATCAGATAAACAAAATATTAAATACATTGCCAATTTACTAAACACATTTATTTGTGGAGCAACAACTGAAATGTCATTCTTACTAGATGTCAACAATAACACATGGGTTCAATCCAGAAAAATTGTAAGGGATTTTTAGAAATCCCTAATCTCATTTATGTCCTAAACATTCAGAAATGTATTGATCCATGAAAAAAGAGAGGTGCAAACATGTCACCTTGGTAAATCATAACTTAAAGTGACTACCTCTATATGTAATTTATGACACCAGTGGAAGGAATTAGCTGCTGGAAAGTGACAAACACTTCATGTAATATTAGCTTGTTGATCAAATCCACTGTGTATTTATCAGACATTAGCAACCATGTTGTGTTAAAATAAACTGATGGCACAGGTCACCAAAGAACTACTAACGGTTGCAGTGAAGCAGAAATAAGACAAGATGAATAATGAATATTGATTACATTAATGTGCTAACAAACTTTACTAGACTTTCTTGCTAAAAAAAAAAACATGCTGCCATCTATAGCATGATCAGGATGATCACATTAAATCACGGTGGACATTTGTTCCTAGATGTTTCCAAACCCCCGCCAGGGATGGGAACAAACGGTTACATGCATATTGTGCATAAATATTTGCAGATGGGCACACACACCAAACCTTTGGACATGTTTATGCATTTGTGGCAGAAATTAGCCTTTATTGTTAATTTTATTGCCTAGTAAAAATATTAATTCATCTTCCTGTTTCATTGATTTTTCACAGGATTTGGCAGCTTTACTGACATTCATTTATTTATTGTGTAAAATTATTATATTATTAATAATTTATATTTTAAATTATAATTACTTTTCAAATTTATATGCCTGGTGAATCACAGTATGACTCAGGTCTAAGGTCAGTGTTATAGTAGGTGATGCATGTTTGCTAGAACAGGGTATAGTACCCTAGCGGTAGAACTCTTAAGTTTCTAAGGGTCATACTCATTTTTTCTTTAAAATAAGCTGGTACTTAAGTCACTGAAGTTAGTCATGATTTCTAGGGTAGCCAAAATATTAATAAGAGTAACAATACTTACAATACTGGAACTGTAAATATAAACTACTTCAAAAAGAAGATAAATATGCTTAGATAAATGAGGTAAATACAACAAGTTACTCCTCACCTCTCGTCACTTTAGAGTTGATGAAATTTAGAAAGTAACCCTAAAGCTCTGGAACGCTGAGTTCTTGGAATATTTAAGCTGGCAGTAAATGGCTCCAAATGGTGCTAGTTAACACACATTGGTGTAGAAATAAATTATTCTATGTTTGAAAGCATAACTTGTTAAAATTTGTTTGTCTTTGTCATTAAAATGTTTCTCAATCAAAGCCTTGTTTTCTAGAAAAAGGGTAAATTTTAATGTCTTCCACCTTCAAGTTCATTTTTCAAACATACATCAAAATGGGTAGTTGGCACAGTTTATCTATTTATCTATTGATTTATTTATATTAACCCCTGTTTTGCCACAATGATCAGTTTAAAATGTCACATCCGGCTGTTGATTGCAGCATCAAGAGGGAAGATGCATACAGAGTTTTCCAGTTTCAATACAATTAAATTATTACAAATAGCTTAAATAGATCGGGATTTATGGCCCTGTCTGTCATAAACCTGTTTAATTTGTTTTCTCGTTTCAAGTAGAATTACGGAAATTAAATAACATTTTAAGGATATTCAAACATTTTTATTCCTCACAGACTGATTCCTCTAATTCTTTATTTTTGTAAAGATAAAGCTAATGAAAACACAATTTTTTTGTTTAGAAATTATAAACAAGTAATGTATGGTCTCTGTTAAAATCCAAGCATTGTATAATGCAGGTTGAACTGTAAAGTGCCTTGAGATGACATGTGTTGTAAATTTGGTGCTATATAAATAAACAGAATTGAAATTGAATTGAAAATTGAATTGTATAGAATTTTATATTTACTTAGAAACAGTCTTAGATTCATTGGTGCTGTCTAATGAGAGACCATAATTGAAACATGGAATTAGCTATATATATATTTATTTAAAAAAAAGCCACAAGGCTGTGGTTGCTCAGAGCTACACTTAATTTTGAAAAAAAAAACTGTAAGTTGATAAAGATGAGTGCTGTCTTTTGCTGCGCAAAAGTGTTCTGCTGGTTTCACATCATACTTTTTTCATCACTTTTTTTGCTCCTGTTTGTGAAATATATGAGCTTTTAAAAAAATATTTTATAATGTAACTTGATTTGTGCAGCTCTAATGGAAAAGCCTATCTAATAGACCAACAAAAAAAATGTTTCTTTAGTTTCCTAATGACACATTTTGCCTCCGTTATATCTTTATTTCTCGCAGGACTAAAAAGGACTAACAAATTTCAGATGTAATCAGGATTTTCAACGTAACATCACCACAAGGGAGGTATCTCAAACTTTATCTAAGAGCATTAAAACGGAAGGATGATATTTCCTGCATGGTTTCATCTGTTTCACACCAACCAGATCTCACTAGACTGCAGCTGTCAGCCGCTGGTGAGTTACATTTCATATTTGCTATATCAATATCAACAACATAGGTATTTGAATTATATATTCCTCTTATTAATTATTTATTTTTCTTCATTAGAAACTAAAGGAATGCTCAGGCCATGTTTTTTCTTAAAGCGGAATGGATTGTTTTGGCCTTTCTCCTCGGCCTCTCAGGTCTGAAACAGAGTTTGTGTTCTGTAATTGAGATAAAGATACTTTCTGTAGTTAACATGAGTTGTTGATGTGCATCTTTTAAAGGGGGTCTGGGAAAAGAAATGCGTATTTGTGTCCTGAAAGGTTCAACTGTGAATCTGACCTGCTTTGTGGAAAACTCATCAGTTCCTAAGAGCTGGCACACTGTAAAAAAAAACAACACGTTTGTTAAGGAAGAACTGCCCGAAACTGCGACTGTAAACTACAACATAAGTGAAGACAATACGCTGATCATCACAGATGTACAAAAGAGTGATAATCATTCCTACTGCTGCCAAGAATCCAGCAAAACAGCTGAAGAGTGCTGGAAGCAAAGAACAGAGATACATGTCACAGGTACAGAAGGGGAGCTCTTGCTATAATATTGACCCAAACTGTAATGCTATTTGCATTATAGTCATATAGATAACATTGAGACCAGATGTTTACATACACTAAAACAAAGAAGCAATGTCTTAGGGTTAAATCCTATTCTTTCAGTCCTCTGCATGTAGTTTACATGTTCAAAAAAACATGACTAAGCATAATTAGCCTTTCTAAATTTCCTTTTGGAGATTGTGTGTCGGTTGTTTGTTTTTTTTTTTATTTTTTATTTTGTGTCATCCAACAGTATTTACAGCGCTAAACACTTTCTACATTTGGTTTTGTTTCAGCCTTATTCCAATTTTATGAAACTAACCTCTTCTCTTAAAATTCTTCACAAGATACCCTATTAATTCAAACTGGTGTTGTATTCAAGAACACACCAACAGAGACCAAGACCAAGACCTTATATGGTCTGGAAAAAGATATAGAAAAAACAATTCTGCAGCTTCTAAGGTCTCAGTGAACACAGTGGCCTCATCATTCCTAAATGGAAGAAGCACCAAGAAACAATTTGTGCAGCAGTCCTTCAGACAGGTCTGAATAAGAGTAGCCCGATGAAAGCCACCCCTTAATCTACTACAGTCGGAGACATTTAAGCTGCAGAAACATCTCAGTGTTTATCAGGGGAAACGGTGTGCACCTCCACTCCCTTTTAAGTTTTTTTTTTTTTATTTATGATATCTTAGTTTTCTGGGGTTTTTAATTTGTTTTTTTTTTATATAGTTTTTGCAGCACTAGAGGCTAGTTTTTTCAACAGTAGGCTGACAGGAAAGGGGGTATGAGAGTGGGGGAAAGACATGTGGCAATGGACATAGGTCGTGCGCGTTAACCACTGTGCCAGCTGCACGCCAGTTTTCTGGTTTTTAGAAAACTGCAGCTATTTACAAAATCCCATTGGGATAATATGGTATTATTGAGGAAAGAGATCAATTTAATAAACTTTGGAAAAAGTCTGAATCCTAATTAAATATGGAAAAAGTGTTCCATCTTGAATACTTTCCAAATTCCCTTTTGATCCATTCGAATTCTTAGTCTGATGTTCAGATTTCTTTGATCATCTGAAAAAAGCAAAAATCTCTCTTTGTAGACCTTCAGGTAAAGGTGTTTCCTGCCACAGAGGAACAGAAAGTAACCCTGATGTGTAAAAGCAGCTGTCCTCTGACTGAAAGTCCTGCAGCCTTCATCTGGTACCAGAACAGAGAGTTCCTCTATGAGGACTGGTCCCACTGGTACCGAGAACTGGTCAGCAGTGATCAGGCAGTCAGATACTCCTGTGCCATCAAAGGCTATGAGGATCTGAGATCTCCTGAGGTCTCAGTGGGTGAGTGGGATCAAAAAACATCATTTAGAAATCAACTTATTCAGGAAACCAACAAATGCACCAAACTCCAATTCGGAAATTATCTTTTGTTCACTTCTGTTCAGACTTCCTCAATCAAAACTGTTTTGGTGTGAGATATCCAAATGTGGAGGTGTGTCCCAGGAAGCTGAAATCAGCAGAGGAGCCCTGCTTCATCATGTATCCTAAAGGTGACATTTTCCCACAAAGACACACCATCTATTCAAAATGTAATGAAAAGATAACCCTAACCCTAACACCCATTTTTATTCTCTTCTGACAGAAGTAAATGTTGACCTGACCAAAGGGAATGACTCTGTTAGACTTACCTGTAACACAAGCTGCCCAGCCGCTGACTCTAGCACCACCTTTTTGTGGTACTGGAAGGGAAATGTCCTAGACTGCATGAGTCAGGGCATCTTAGTCTTTAAATATACCGCCTACATGTCCTGTGGTGTCCATGAATACCTGCACTCTGATCAGATCTGTAAGCATTATACGTACTTCTACATTGTATCTTGCCAACAGGATTTTGAGTTGCTATTACTGAGTGTTTTTATGCTTTTTTTCAGGCACTGACAATAACTGTGCACACATGAATTATATCGGCAACAGGTTCTGCAGGCTTGAAGAATCATCTGTAAACATTTCCAGAAAATACACAAAACGCCCCTACGATTCCGGTCACGAAACATGGTATAAACTAAAGAGAAACATGGAGGAAAAGCCCCATATCACCGAAATTAAAGCTGGAGGCCGTGTAGCGTACCACAGCATAAATGGAAATCAACATACGCTCACAATTAATGACCTGAGGAAGAATGACTCGGGAGAATATATGTTCAGTTCCAATAAAGACGAGATTTGTAAACCGCCTGAGTTGCTGGGAGCGATCCTGGTGGTTACAGGTACTACCTTAGCTTGAATTTCTGATTGTTTTGTGTGACACCCAAAAAAGACTTTAGGTTAAATAACACAGTGATACACAAAGCCACACCTTACACTGAAAAAAATTATGCAACTGCTTTTGGAATTTACTTAATCATATAATCATATTTAGTTACTTTAACACAATTATTTATGTCCTACCCTATGAACATGAAACATTGTGTTAAAGTAACTAAATGTGATTAATTAAATGCCAAAAACGGTTGCATTATTTTTCTCTGTGTAAATGTTTTCACACTTTGCCCCGAATGTAGCTTCAAACTCCAAGTGAAGTGACCGACAGGAATTTCATGAGAAATGCAAAGAAACTGTTTTAATTGCTCATAGAAGAAATTGGCTCTGCGCTTTCAGTCATTGTAGTTTAAAATAAATGTTATTTATTATGCACTTATGCAAAAAATATGTTTAATTGCTATAAAGCTGTTGTTAGAAGCATCGGTAAACATGGCAATATTAAAAACTAAAGGTAGAAGATAGAAACGCAGTCATGAAACCTTGAAAAAAAATATATATTTTCAGTTGGAAGTTTGAAGTTTCAGTTTTCTTAGAGACTCAACACTCTGTGGTTTTCTTAAAATTTGAGAAACTCGTTTAACAAGTCAGTGGCAGCTGTGGAGATTTCCTTATTTCCGATCAAGGAGAGTGGTTACAAAGGACTTCTTCAGCTTTATAGTAGACCTTCTAGTCTGCACAGGCTACAAGTCCTTCATAAAATCAGGTGTACTCCAGTTAGTGAGTAAGGAGACAGTTCTTGTGTTGAATTTAAGTACCGAAGGGAAGCCTGAGAAAGTGCAAAACCAGATTGATATGATAATGTTTTTCAGGTAGTTTAAGCAGTACTGTTTTGGACAAGCTATAGTTTATTTAGTTTTCATTAAAAAATACCAAACAGCAGGGAGGTGCAATGTTTCAATGTGGAAAAGATGAAGGCATAAATAGTTTTTTTTCTGCATCTGACTGAGTGATATAAAGAAGGATGGATGAAGGGTTGCAATGTTTTTTCTAATGAAAAAGGATGTTTTACAGAGGTGTAGTATGTGGGTGTTAAATGAAATCTGAGGGTCAATCCATAGAGAATGAATGGTAACAGAAGAGGAGAGTGTAAAATTTTGCAAAAATGTTATTAAGGTTGTAGTGAATGACTGAAGTCGACGGTGAGTGCCAACCAGGGTAGCTTCTGTTTTTAAACTATTAAGTTAAAGTCAGTTCCAGATCCAGAGAGTAAAAACCCCTGCATTGTTTTCCTTCAGCCAGTTAACTTAACCAGGTGATTAACTCCTCAGGTGGTTACTGTGCATTTTGGAGCTGGAAAAAGCAAATTGTTGGAACTGATCTCTGTGCAGGCCTTTTACTTTCTGGACCTGGAATATCCACCTCTGGTTAAAGTAAATGATGTGCCATCCATGTGTTAATCTCCTCCAATCAGGTAGCGAATAAAGAGAATGCTCATGGGGTTGAGATGGATGGTAAAAAGAAAGGGGATTTAATAAGTTTATGTTTCATCTACATAGCTGAGGAACAATACTCCACAGCAGGGGATGATTATGTCTAAAGGAAGGATGTAGAGGATAAAAAGATTGGAGCCAAGGACCAAACCTTGAGGAACCCCAGAAGTGACTGTATTGAATCATAAAGAGGCTCTCATTAGTCTCAACTGTTTTGCGCCCTTTAACAGACTTACATTATTTCTGGAATTCCCTAATATTTAGCTTCAGCCATCTTCCCATCAGCTCTGATCCGCTTTTCTATCTTCGATGAGGGAAAATATTAATTGGTCACTGCTTGGATCGTTTGTTTAGGATAACATATTGTATTAATTTTCCACACCCTTTATGTTCTGTATGTTAATCTGAGCATAGCACCTTATCCACGTTTGATGTCTGTTTTCATAGTACATCCTCAGGTGACTTTTTCCCCCCAATAATGTTGTTTTTCTTGCTACTCTTCTTTAAATGTCAGACTTGAGCAGTGCCCCACTTAAAGTTGTCTACCCACTCTGCATGAATCCAATGCTTCTTATGACCTGTTATTTTAGGAAGACGGGTAAGACGTGGTTATAGTAGTTGGGTTATAGTCTCTTCATTTCAGAATAGCAGATTGAGCAATTCTCTGTGAATATTCAAAGGAAAGCTGCTCTAAGCTTCTCCAGAACTTCCCTGACCTTGCTTGCAGTGCTCTTAGGTCTTTATGAATGCATGAATAATCCTCTGATGCCTTCATAGAACAGATGATGTTAAAATACACATTGATAAAAAATTGGCTACACTTGATATTATTTAGCAGTATCACACTAAATTCAATCAATTCAATTACACTTTATTAATCCCTGAAGGGAAAGGAGGTATAATGCTTCTCACATATTTCAGGTTTATATTAGTAAAAATGTGAAAAGCTGCATCATAGTCTTTCCTTTTCATGTTAATATGTTATATTATGTTCTTGTATCAGAGAAAACTCTTCTTTGTGGCAATGATAAAAATTATGAGGGCTATTGTTGCTTTGTCAATGTACTTGTAACTATGAGATATTACACTATGATAAACTAACATACAAGGAATGCTATTGCATCACGTGATTCATGTTAACCTTTCTTGTCCCAACATGTTTCAGGTCTGAAAGTGACCATAATTCCCTCTGATGTGGTGAAGGAAGGTCAGAGAGTCACGCTGACCTGCAGTACCAGTTGTCCTCTGTCAGAGAAAACAACCTACCTGTGGTTCTTTAATGAACAACCGCTCAGCCAGAGTACGAAGCACAACAAGCATCTTATTCTACATCCAGTCAGACTTCTGGATGCAGGAAACTACTCCTGTGCCGTTAAAACCCCCCAGAATATCAGCTCACCTCTGAAGGCTCTTACTGTCAACGGTAGGTCTGTGTAAAGATAGCTTCTATAAATTAGGGAGACTTTAAAACCAAATCAGTGAATTATTTTGTTTTTATCTTTCAACAGAAGCAGATATATCCATCGTCATGATAATTATGAATGTAACAAAACTGGCCTTTTTGTCACTGCTTTCTCTTGTTGGAAGTACTCTGTACCTGATGCTAAGGTAAATATATTATATGTAAATAATCATGTTTAACTTGGGAAATTTATTTATTTCACCCTCGTCAGCCGTGTTTAATAATGTTAACTTGTACTTTTATTGATAAGGAAAAGAAGAAATGCAACTTCAACAGCAAAACAGTGTTAAAAAGCAGAAACTGAAGAGGTGATAACAAATTCTAAGAAGAAAATCTTTTTGTTTGTTTTGTTTCTCTCACTTCAGTATTTACTTTTTTTTTTTTAGGTGACACTTTTAGAGAATTGCATTTTTGACCATAAATCCTAACGCTGAAAGAGGAAGAGGAGCAGTATTAGGACATTGTATAATAACTGATTGAAAGCCGTATACCATCTGAGCCCTGCAAATAATGTTAAGACAGAGTGCAGGCTATGCTCTTAGGTCTATATGATAAGAAATGGTTTTGGTTTTTTTAATGTCACTTCCTGCTTGAGTATTGGATGTAAGTTTCTTATCTACACCAACATCTGTACAGCTAACCAAGCTTTGAGGTTAAAAGAAAAGCTCATAAAATCCTACTGCAAATTGCTAAATATTACAGCCAAAGTAATGGACAGTGTGTTTCTTGCTTTGCCCTGGCTGCACCAAAACGTACAGAACAACCTTTTGCTTAAGGCATTTTTGATGCTAGTCCTCGTTTTCAGCTTTCCAGTGGAATGTTTCGTTCTAGAATGACTGGTAGTCGGTACTGTCACTCATTTCTTCCACTTTTTAAAATACCCTTGTTCCCATTAAAAACAGTAACCCCATAGCCTGAGGCTATCACTGCTTATTCCATACTAAGTATCATGATCCTTTGGTAATGTTAAGTTTGCTTATGTATCGAGAATATGCATTGAGCAAAAACCAAATGCTTTCTTCAGACCATGACACATCTCTCACCAATGTTTTAAGTGATTTTAGGCAAGCCTGTAAACAAGCTTATCTCCTGCCACACAGCCTTTTGTTTTGTGTAAAATTGCTGAGATGTATATGTGATGCATCTATTCTGTTGTAATTTAGTAACGCATTAATATAAATATCTAATGTCATATGAGTAAGGATTAATGTTTCTTTATTAAATATTTCCTGCTGTTTCTTAAATATGTTATGAGATTCAAAGAAAGCTCCTATTTGGGGCCAATTTCCAAACCTTCATGGCTAGATCACATCTAATTGCTGCAGCCAACCCATTTTATCTAATTATTTAATGACTTTCACCACACTAGAAAATGTTTTACTTGCAGATTTTAATCTCCACATTGATGATGCTTCGAAGAATTTGGCCTAATCATTTATCTCTACCAACAACTCTTTATATCACACATCAGAGTGATGATAAAATCCATATCCTGGACCTCCTTTCCTCTGACCTGAAAAATACAAATATCTTCATGGAGGACATATTAATAAGTGACCATTTCTGTAGATATTTTAATGCATGTGTAATATGACCCGTCTTTTCTCCAATTCAAAGATGAATAATGATTTTTATGATTTTTTTTTACTTTTATTACCCTCTGCATGGTAATAGCAACTGTAAAAATGAACATAGTCCACAGTGAACACTCTTCTTTGGTACAGATGAAATGCACATTATAAGGAGAAAGTGGGGTGAGACTGGAGGCCTTTAGGAAAAGTTAAAGTTAATATTTTGATATTAGGATGTGACTGGAAGATTGAAACTGTCCTCTTGCTAAAAGCTGCAATATATAGCCTCCTAGCTGCCAAACTGAAGAAGTTTAAAGTTTTTTTTTTGACACAATAAAGAAAGAACATTGGATCACCTGTTTCTCTTGCCACTCTTGCTTTTCAAATCTATAATCAATATTGTAAAGAGTTTGTAAACTACTTTGTGGAAGGTTCCCATCTCTTTTATCTGGCACAATGTCTAGTACTTAAAAGGTTGTCCTTAGTCCTTTGATTTAGATTATACTCTCCCAATAGCGACAGGCCTTTCCCTAAATTACCTTTTTCTTTTTCTTTTTTAATCACTGAACAATTAACTAGTTTTAGAGTGTTATGAAGGCCAGTGTTGTAATGGATTTATTGCAATAATTTTTTTGGTAAAATGCTCTTTTTTAAACTGCCTTATTAATTTTGTTGATCATGGCTGATTCTGAAGGCTATACTCTTTTGATTATGTTAGATCCTACTTCTACATTTAACACTGTCCATCATGATATTTTGATCAATAGACTGAAGGACTTCTTTAGTTTTAAACTGTTTTCAAACTGTCTTCTGTTATTGGCCCAATCCTCTTTTTATTAGATCTAAACCCTTTAGGTGATAGTAAAAAATGTGCTTTATTAAATATATGATGACAGAATATGATGACATTGAATTGCGCTGCTCTTAATCTAACCAATGTTCCTTGGAAACTAAATAAATATATGAAGATTACTAACATTACGATGGAAACTGTGCTCAAAGTGCCAACAAATGATCAAAGCTCCAGTTATCAGGCAGCATGTGGCCTTTCTATGATTTTATCGGTCTTTGTAACGGAAATTGTCAAAACTGTGGTTGTTTTGACAGAACTTATCTGGAGACTTACATTTAAAATGTTGTTAGTTGTGGTTTTTATTACCTAAGCAGCATCTTTAAGTTCAGATCCTTTATATTAAACACAACAAAAATGTAAATAGAAATACTTTTTATGAATCTGAATAGAGCAGACTTTTGCTGAATTATTTTACTTTTATCATTTATTTTATTCTTGTGCTGCACTTTCTGATGTTTCACACGAGAAGGTTTCTATATAATTAGAAATTAAGGATTTAATTACTAATCAATGTTTGCTATTGCAACATAGTTATTTTACATAAAATTATGTGGATTAAGATCTAACATAATTAGGTTACGTACTTGCTGTCCCAAATTAGTTATTGTCGGTCATTTATTAATCACTGTGCGAAGCATGTGTGACCCTCACAGCATGCAATGCAATACTTTGAGCAGTAGATGTCTCTATTTAATTGTACTATAGGCTATTACTACACCACCAAACAGCAAAGATCAAACCTGCAGTTATTTTTTTTTATGGTGTGCAACCACAATAATGAGTATATCAGATGGTCACAGCAAAGTGGGTGATTAACAGATGAGACTGAAGAGGTGAGGCTGAGATAGTTTGAATATGGTTGCTATGTGGGACATAGGATATTAATATCAATTTACCAGGGAAGAGGAAAACCACAGAGATGGTTGTGGGGGAGGATCAGAGAAAAATTGGTGGGAAAGAGGAGGATACAAGTGATGGGATGGATGGCAGTGATTCACAGTGAGATTCCCTAAATGTATAAAGACTCTCTGGGAAGGCCTAATCTAGTTTACATGTAATGAAATTGAGAATGAGTAAAGTTTGACTGGTTGGGAAAGTCTTTATTACCTTTGAGAATTTTTGAGAAATAAGCTGATTAGTCAGTCACTTCATCTGGATGGGATTAAACTGATTTCAGATAAGTAAAAAAAATCTTGGTGTTAGTTTTGATCAGGACCTGTCATTTAAATCCCATATCAAAGAGGTTTCTAGAATGTCCTTCTTTCTTCTGCGGAATATTGCAAAAAATAGAAATATCCTGTCCAGGGGTGATGCTGAGAAACTAGTCAATGCATTTGTTACTTCAAGGCTGGACTTTTGTAATTCTTTACAATCAGGAAGTCCACAAACTGTAGTTAAAAGTAGTCCAAAATGCTACAGCCAGAATTCTGATGAAAATTAAAAAGAGATATCATATCTCTCCTATCCTGGCTTCTCTTCATTGGCTTCTTGTTAAATCCAGAATTGAATTTAAAATCCTCCTTCTCACATATAAAGCCTTAAATGGCCAAGCTCCATCTTATATCAGAGATATGATAGATGATAATAGAATGGGAGGCAGATCTTTTAGTTATAAGGCTCCTCTCCTGTGGAACCAACTACCAGTTTTAGTCTGTGAGGCAGACACCCTGTCTAATTTTAAGGCTAGGCTTAAAACTTTCCTTTTTGATAAAGCTTATAGTTAGAGGCTCAGGTTATCCTGAGCTATCTTTATAGTTATGCTGCTATAGGCTTAGACTTCTGGAGGACATAGGGACCCCTTTATCATCATTCTATCTCTAAGCTCTGCCTCTTCTGTTCCTGTTTTGATGTGACACCATCCTGAAGAGAAATATCAGCTGTGCTTGTGTCGTCAACACCTTTGCTTATAAATGTATGAGCTCAGCCTATGTTTTCAGTGTAGTTCTGTTTCTCTGACAGGGCCATCTTTCTTTATGTCTGCTTCTGTCTCCTTAAACCCCAGGTGGCCTCGGCAGATAGCCACTTACACTGAGCCTGGTTCTGCTGGAGGTTTCTTCCTGTTAAAAGGGAGTTTTTCCTCTTCACTGTCGCTACAAGCATGCTTGGTGTGAGGGATTGCCTTCGAGTCAATGATTCGATGCCATCAACTAGTTTTCTTTAGATATAAAACTTTGAATCAATCTGACTGTATGATCTAGTTAAATTGTATCTGTAAATTGCCTTGAGAGGACATGTGTTGAGAGGACATGTTGTGAATTGGCACTATATAAATAAACTAAATTTAATTAAAATTATTGGTCCCTGGAACTTCTGTCCGGATGTAAAAATGTGTGGTTTAAAAATTTCGAAAACATCAAAATCTAAGGCATTTTCCTTAGATATCTACACAGTTGTGCAATCAAAGAAAATGTTCCAGGTTCTAATGCTACATCTCAAACCACAGTTCCCAAAGTCTATTCTATTTTAATAGAATAAAAAAAAGGTTGAAAAAAAAGGTAAAATAATATGTGACAAATTAACAATTAGTTGTTATATTGATAATTTGAAAGAAAACAAACACAATACGGGTACAGAGTTGTCAAAGTCTAGCCGAAATATTAGAATATACAATTTCTAGTCTGGCCTAATGAAATTTGGGGGTTGCTTTTAATATTCAATCTCTGTACAAAAGATTTGGCATTTGAAACATAACTGATACTGTAAAACACATGTGTCAAAGTCAAGGCCCGCGGGCTGGATCTGGATCGAACTGTTTATTCACAGCCCCCTGGATGATAATTACCATTAGAACCGGCCCACAGGCCACAGCCGCTTGTGCGTGCCACTGTGACTTCGCGTTGCACGCACCAACACTACATTCCTAGGGGAAAACATGATTGTGTTTTTCTTTTGTTTAAATTTTTTTGTTGTGCTTTGCATGCTTTTATTGTTTTGGTTTTTGCTTTTCCTTCTTTAACAATCCAAGCTTGGCTGGATTTTTGATTCTTCTGTCCTTTTTGGTATTGCTCTGTTTTTTGTTTAATAAATTCCTTTTTTAAAGAGCCTCTAGCTGAATTCTGGCTGCGCTGCCGTGATTCATCACAACACTTCTACATTTTTTTTTTCAAGACGTGATTTTTCTTTGAAGGAAATATTTTATTTATTTACTACTGGACCCTCTAAGACACACCCCTCCTCATTTGCATGGTGAGACAGAAATGCATACGGAAATGTAAAAAAAGCCAGGTAGAAATAAATAGCGTTGAAGAAATAAAGAGGGTAAAAAAAAAAACATAAGCAGAATAAAACAACCAAAAATATTATAAGCATGCACTTAAATAAATACTTAAAAAATAGGTAATAAATAAATAAAGTTGAAGATTATAACGGACAATAAATAAATAAAGTAATTATTACAAACGGGACAAACAAAGAAGCTAATTAAAAGAGATGTATACATTTATGTCTCACTGTATAATTTAATTTCTACCTACATTTATTTGTTTATTGCACTTTGGGGCAATTAATTGTATGCTTATTTATTTATGGAGTATTTATTTATTTCTGTATTTATTTTTAAATATGGCAGAGTTGATCCTCCGTAAAGTGTTTACATTGAAGTAAATAAAATGTGAACCGGCCTATATTTCATCCAAGCTTTTCACATTCATCAACAAAATAAGGTTTTTTCTGTTAATCAGGCTTTAGGTCTATCTATTATTCCACACTGATGTATTATATGCTGAAAATTATGATACGAAATTTGTTTCCAGTAAAAAAAAAGATCAGCTGTTGTCTAAGGTCAAATTGCTCAATTCAAAACTGTGACAAAAGGTGAAGTCCTCCTATTATTTTATTTATTTATTTTTACACTAAATTGGATATCCATGAGAAAATTGGTAAATATTCCATCTATTATTTTTGAGGACGATTTTGCTGAAGGCACTCCACCCCTGATTAAACCTGAAAGGACGTTTGATTTGTTTTCCTTGTGGATTAAACGGACACGTGACCTGCCGCCCGCCTCGTACTGCGCAGAAGCTGCAGCAGCACCGCCCCTCCCCTACCCGGTCAGTCTCCGGTTCTTCATCCATTGGCTCAATATTCCTTGGATCTCCTGGTTTCGACTGCACCTTGCAAACGTGGAGGAGAAATTACCATGGACAACAGAGGTTATGGTTCTGGTAAATATGCACAGCTTCTATAGGAATTTTGGGCTTCAAATAATTCGAATTGCTCACGGCGTTACCGAATAAAAACCAGCTACATTATGCTAGCAATGTTAGCTTTGGTTACGCACAGCTTTAGCTTCCCAGGCACAACGACACCCAGGCCTAATAGCTGGAGCTTTTAACAAAGAAGTTCAATTGTAGCAGACGCGTAAAATCATCTGTATCTAAATTGGTTTAGCAAGTTTAATTTAGATGTGATGTTTGCTGTGTTGTAGGCCCTTTAGCTAGTAGTAGCACAGTTGTGGTCAACTGCGCCATCATATATATACATGTTTCTTTTGTTTGTTTTTTCTTTCTTTGTTTTTGTTCCTCTTTACAGCTGTAAACACTATCGCTGTACTGTTTGACTATTATGGTGTTTGTTATTTAAAAATTGACCTGTCGTTACTAAAATCAACGTTTAAAAACGGATAAAATGGCCGCCTGAATGGAACTGGAAGCTGTATTTAAATGCATCCTCTACCAGAAAATACTAGTTTATTTGAGAGCTTGGTCTCAATCACCTATTTTGGTCAGGCATTTAATGAGTTATAATGAAATTCCATACTTGACTTTGTTATGCAGTTATATCTATAATAATAGGGCATATATAGTTCGGTTAACTTCCTCATGCGTTTATTTGCATTTCATTCTGCAGGTTATTCCAGTTGGGGAGGTGGAAACTCTGGAAACAGAGGTATGGAAATTAATAGAGACTTTAATAATAACTGAACTTCATTGATCTTGGATCTTGATTGGAGAAATGTACTTCTGCATTTAACCCATTCCCTTGGGGAGCAGTGGGCTGCCATGGATGCTCAGGGACCCAGAGTGCCAGTCTGTGGGAGTTTTGCTCAAACTCAGGATGCCAAGCCCTATGCCCTAACCACTATGACACCACTACCCCCTATAATATATCTATATTTTTTAACCTGAAAAAGCAAACAAAGTGTTGTTGTTTAGTAAAATGATTAGAATGCACGAAACAGTTTTTCATAGTAACAGGTGTTACAGTAGGTGTTTGTGATTCCAGTTTCTCTTTCCCTCCACTTTTGAAGGTTCTGGTGGCTTTGACATGTATGGAGGAGGTTACAAAGACTCTGGGCTTGGAGGCTATGGAGGAGGAGGCAGCGGTGGTGGTGGTCATATGAAGAGAGGGCCGTCAGGAGGATCTCTCTCATCCTCTGGAGCGGATGCAGTCATTGCCAAGATTAACCAGCGCCTGGACATGCTCACTCAGTTAGAAGGGGGGTTTAGGGGGCCTCGGGGGGACAGGTAATATTGTTTTCTTTTTCTTGTCTTCTCATCAACACGCATCTATCTCTTAAAATGAAAAAAGCTTTCCCAGAAGTCTTCTTTTTTTTCTATTGCAATGCTCAGCATCTGATCAATTGAAGCAATACAATTTACTTACAAGTGCATCTCAATAAATTAGATTTTTTTTTATTCAAAATAGTAGCTTCTATCTTAAACACAGTAAAACTGAGTCATAAATATATTGATAGATATTGTGATTAAACACAACTATTTAAGATTTTGATGACTAACAGCTAGTAAAACCATCAAATAATTTTTCGGAAATTCAAAATATTGCATAAGTCTGATAAAGCACCTTTTCATATGAAAAAAGTATGTTTAACATCCTTCACAATCATGGGTAGAACTGATTCAGTAGTTGTCCAGCAGACAGTCAAAAATGCTGTCATTAGGAGTGCTGTAATAAACACATTAATGAAAAGTTTAGTGGAAGAAAAAAAAGACAAGCGCACCCTTTCTGAGGCTGTCTTTCTATTGGCTGGAAAGGTTGCTAGGCGACGATCCGACTGCAATCTGAGAGAGCGCAAAAAAAATCCGCAAGCAGAGCCTACGGGTTTGCAAGCGTATCTGAGACTCGGTTTGTGCGGGAAGAGAAGGAGGCAAGCGAGAGGAGAAAATATCTGTGCAAGAAGCATTAAATCTGAGAGAAGAAATGAAGATTTGAGAGAGAGCGCATGTTTTGAGTGTGAGCATTCTAAGTTTTGAGTGCAAGAAGATGAAATTCTTTTCTCAAATTGAAATGATGGGCTCTTGCATTATGGCAGGATAATTCCCCCATATAATTCCCTGTGAGTTTAAACAACACACGGAGGAAATCTGTTATTGGATGCGATCCATACAAAGTCCCTGCTCACTTTTTTTTCACATAGTTTATTCATAACCTGTCCTCGTAGACCGGGGAAAGTCTGAAAGCTTTTAAAAGCACATATGCTTATCAGTGTTTCAGAGCTGGCCCGGTCATTGATCCGACAATATGATGTCCGAAAAAAAATAAAGATGTGCGTATGTAAAGCAAAGGTAAGCCGCATTCTGCTTATCTTTATGTCTGCTTTATGTAAAAGGCTAAACACAACTATAATGTTTATAGCAAAATTTTCAGATTTTAATATCCAAAGCGCTTCTTTTCACAAGATGTCTAATCAGTATAATCTAGTCACTTACTTGTATGCGGGGGGATTAAAATGCCTTAAATCCAGAAGACAGGAGCCTAAGCTAGTTGTCTTGAGTTGTTTTTAAATTCACTTGAAACGAAATGTACGTCCAGTCCAATCGCCGTCCAGTCAGCTTTTCTGATCGCCGACAGACATCTCTTACTGCGTTCAGTTTCTTTTGGGCAAGCGGTAAACCTATATATTTAGGTAATCTTTTTTTATTGTTATGTTTGACGGCACAAAATACGCAGGGAACCCGAGTAGGTACTCAGTATAAGCCACGACTAGATTCAAACATCTGTGGCGTAAGCTGCAAGGAATCTATATAAAGCCGGGCATACCCTACGTGATTCTTTTGCCCTTTTCAGGCCAATTCGCCAGTCGTGCGAGAATTTTTCGATCGGGCCCAAGTTTCAGCTTCATCGTCCATTGTTCATGGTAAATGGTAAATGTCATGTACTTATATAGCGCCTTTATTTAAGTTAGGAGACTTGACCAAAGCGCTTTACACTACATTCATTCACTCACACACTGATGGTGGCAAGCTACATTGTAGCCACAGCTGCCCTGGGGCTCATTATACAGGGGATAACGAGGGGTGATCAGCCTCTTGCGACCACCTCCCGATCAGGAATTGTAAGGTCGGGAGAAGATCAAACATGTTAGAAATTCAGTTGGCCATCGTAAGATTGCGTCAGAGCGTCGAGCAGCAGAGTATGAGAACATGCATCGTGAGCTGTGAACTTTTAAACCCTGGGGTTTCGTCGTACAGTTTGCCCGGCTGTAGAGGAAGGAAAAGGGATTTAACACATTTTACTGCGTTAAATTGATTGATATATTAGTGTTTCATTAACATTTATTGAGCTGCACCTGTAAGTTCCAGAACTTATCTTTTTTCTTGTTTGTTTTTTTGTGCCACTGACAATTAAAGATTAGATTTTTACTGTAGTTCTGCCACATTTATCCAAATATAGTAAAAGAAAAAAAAAAAATGACAATATAATCTCTATATTGCTAGACTCTGGACATCTAGCTTGTTTCAGAATGGTCAGGTTGCTCAGTCTTCTCTTGCTGTGGGTCACACGGTCTTTGTGAAGATACGTAGGCGGTATAATATAATATAGGTACCCCAAATCTTCTTGACTGCTTCGTTGGAACTTCTCACGCATGTCTTATTTTCTGTTGGATTTGATCTTTATTTAAAAGAAAATTGTTTCAAAGCACTTGTTTTGTAAAGGCATGGCCTTTTGTTGAAGTGGAAATTTATTGACCATATTTTCATTTAAAAGAAACCTCCATCCTTTCATCTGATGTCAAGCATTCTTCTACGCTCTCTCCCCAAACTTTTGTTTTTCTTGTTTGTGTTTGCAAACTTGATCTCCTTCGTCTTCCGTGTGACCTAACCTGTGTTCTGGCTTTAGGTTACCATGGGTGATAAGTGGTGGATTGTTACTGCTTTAAACAGCTGTAATCATTATCTGTGAATAAGAAAAAACCCAGCTACTGGAACCATTTTCATGTTTGTTCATCCAATTCCTGTATAATTTGACCACATCTCAGGATGTTTCACTACCTGCACCTGTCTCAAGACGTTGCGGGTTCAGCTGGGCTTTCCTCTGATCCATTAAGGTTGCCCTGTCTGTCCTTTGATTAAAAAAAAGCTGAAATAATTAGCATTTCTTTTATATGCAAGACTCTCTGTAAAGAAAAAGAGAATATTGTATAAAGGACCACAAGTGGAATATATGTTTTAGATCATTACTTTTTGATCTCATGTGGTTTGTGCATAAATCTGGATGTGACAGAACACTGAGAAAGCAAGATGATGGAGCAGAAGAAAAAGCAGGTGGAGAAATCCAACCTGGCTGCCTTCCCTGCCTCTCTTGCTCTCTGTTCTTCTATCAACCCTCTTCCTCCCTCCTTCCTGCAGGTTTGACGAGTACGAGTCATTCGACTCACGCTCCTCCGGGCACTCCTCTTCCCGAGATCTCTACAGATCTGGCAGCGGTAGCTATGGTTTTGGGGATGACCGTGGGGACAACATGCTGATGAATCAGCGAGGAGGCTCCGGCTTCGGAGGGGGAATTGGGCTTGGGGGTGGAGGAGGCTTTGACAGCCCCTCCTCTTCCTTTGGAGTCGCAAAAATGCGACAAAATATGAGAGATTCCTTCGCCAGTGGACAGGGAGGAGGTTCTGGAGGATGGGTTGGAGCTGGCCGACGTTCCCCCAGAAGGGGTGGAAGCGCTGGGGCTCGAGGACCTGGAGGAGGGTTTGGAGGCCGCAGGTCTGACCCCACTCAGTTAGGTGGAGGTATGCGGGGAAGTGGTGGCGGTGGCCAGTCCCACCGTGGCCATTCTCCAGGAGGTGGTAGAGGCAAGCTCCCATCCCTCCTGTCCAACCGCATGTACCCTGAGAGTGGTGGTTTCCAGGGTTCTGCTCCAGGGCCTCAAGACTTCCCTGGGAGGCATTTTGGAGGGGGGCCACGAGGTGGTCGCCAGCGAGGCCGCAAAAGACCCCTCATCAAAGTAAGTACCTCCAGCCAACCTCAGACCCTGGGCAAATGTTGAGCCCTTTCTGATTCCCTCCTTTTATTCTTAGCTGGAACATTAGCCCAACGTGCTAATAGATGGTACCTCCCAACTGAAACACTCTGTGAAATAAAACGCATATTTCACATATTTGCAACTTTAAATCCATCCACCGTTGAATAAAGTGGCTTTAAGCTGTTAGCGCTGTTTACAGTGAGAAATGATTTGATACGCCTTAAATTAGCAGCAGGTTGGTTTTTCTGTTTTGGTTGGGGCGGCAGCACTTTCTTACCAAGTTGAATGTTTTAGTTGAAGTATTGACAAATGAGTTTGTAAATGGAGTAATTCTCTGAAATCTAAATTAAGATGTTCTTAATGTATTGCTTATGTGTTTGGGTGAATTGAACTATAATCACTCTGACCTGATTATTTTTGTGTCTAACTTTTCTGATTTGAATCAAAAACATTGATGAATACTCTAAAAATGTAGGGAGTTGCAGCTAAATAACAGGACCTGGAGCTCCTCTGTAGGCATGGGCCGTTAGGAGTCATATTCCCATACAGTCTAGAAATGTATAGAACCTGATTCTAGTATTTTTTTTGGGCTAAATACATTGATGTGAAGAATTTTGTTTCCATTAAGATTTTTAGTTCCATTGTTTTTCTTTCGTCCTGCACTTTAATTCACCTGCTGTCCACCGATCAGTCCTTCTTGTGTCTGTCCTGTTCATCCTCCCATGTTTCTGTATCCTTTTTTGAACAACTTTGTACTTTTTTCACTTTAAGTCTGCCTTTAAAAAGCAAAAGACTTTTGAGATTTGAGTTTGATACAATTCAAAAAGTTAACTTTTTATTAGATTTTCTCATGATTAAGAAACAGTAGTTGTTTTTAACATTAATTTAAACATTCACTCATGGATGGTGAGTAGTAGAACACCTGAATATTTGAAATAAAAACCAACAGGTTTGGTATCGCTCTACATGTTAGGTTTATCATGCAGAATATAATACCATCTGCACTTCTGCTGACATGGTCCTTTTTGTTTGTCTTATCCATTTGTTCTGTTCTCAGACACTAAAGGGAGTTTAAACTATAGGATCTATAAATTTCTTTTAATTATTGTGTTATATATTGAAAGTAGAAACCGGCCCATGCCTAAATAGTTTTGGGATTCAGAAAGGCAAATTTGAAAGTCAATGAGGGTCAGGTGTAATTTGCATGCTTTGGCCATAGTCGAAACATGTATGTAGTGTTGGTTTAAGGCTGGGTATTTTTTATTTACTTTCTTCCTGTGGGTTTTTAATTTGGCTGCACAGCAACAGGTGAAGCCTCAACGCGACGGTCAAAAGAAGAGGAAGCAAACTCCAACTGGAACCGATGAGCCAGAGTCAAAGATGAACAAGACAGAGGGCGAGGAGACTGAGGGGACACAAGGTACCTCCAAAAGTGTTTTTGGATCAGTGTGTTTTGAGTTAATGGTCTGTGAGAGAGAGCAGCATTTTACTGCTTTGAGTCTGATGTCTATCTGCTTATTTTAAACAGAAGAACCAAAACCTGAAGGAGAAGACAACAACCCAGAAACTGCTACTGAGGTGAGTGGGCAGGGTTGTTTTTGGTTTAAGTATTTTTAGATAGTTGAATAAAAAGCATTTGACTGAAAAGTTGAGGGTTGATGAGAAACTGAATTTATTGGTATCATCTTTGCATTGATACAGGAGGCAGCTCCCTCTGAGGAAGGCAATACTGGTAATATTCAGCAATAGTGGCTTTAAGATTAGTCAATATCTGCATTTATTTATAGTGTAATTGAACTGAATCAGTTTTGATTCTCTCTGCCTTTGTGTTGATTAGCTACACCTACGCAGGAGAAGAAAAAGCCTGCTTTAAAACCGACTCAAGGACAGGAAAAGCAGCAAAAAGCCAGAAAGAGAAGGGGTTTCATGGACAGGTGAGGGAGGGAATTTCAAATAAATGTATCTTTTGTCTTGTTTCCCTCTTGAACTAGTGATGTTGACAAGATCTTATGCTTTTTTGTGTGTTGATTTCTGTACCCTAAAATCAGTGGTTCTAATTGCATTCATTATTTTTTTGTCTCAGGTTGATGTTTGCATGTTCTGTCTGCAAGTTCCGCTCATTCTACAAGGAAGAAATGGATGCTCACCTGGAAAGTCGCTTTCATAAGGACCATTTCAAGTTCCTTTCCAACCAGCTGTCCAAACCTACCACAGACTTCTTACAGGTGACTGTATATCATCCTTAGTTTGCATTTTACAAATGGACTGGATTTCAACTGTCTGAAAAAATGTGAAATTTGCTTGTTTAATTTTCCAGATCTAGAAAAGTGTTAGAAGAATAATTTCAGGTGTATTGTGATGCATGACATTTCCCCTAAACTTAATTTGATGCTTTTGGACTAAATGTATTAAAGCAGAGACATAATGGGCCATTTCCCTGGCTTTCTTGGCATGTAAACTCTGCACCTGACAATCTGGAAATTCTAAATGGAAGATATTAAACAGGATTAGAATCCTATTTAATATCTTCCATTTAGAATTTCCAGATTTTTGTAATATCCCAAAATATTCCGGATTAATTTCTTTGACATACGATGCTTATAAAAACCATATTAAAGTTTCATTATTTTGCAGGAGTACATGCTAAATAAATTCAAGAAGACAGCAGAGCGGGTCAGCCAGTTGGAAAACCAAAGCGCCACCATCTGCCAGATATACAGAGAGCAAGATCTAACGCGGGGTAACTACCTGCTTCAGCTGCTTGTGCACCAGAACTAAGAAATGTCAGAGATTGTGCTGATGTTTTCTCTTGCCTTTTGCAGAACTTGGAATGGAGCACTTCATGAAGAAGGTGGAAGCTGCTCACTGTGGAGCCTGTGACATTTTTATTCCCATGCAGCCCCACCTGATTCAAAAACACATCAAGTCTCCTGATCATAACTATAACCGCAAGGTATATAATAAGCTGTTTTGTGTTGCACAGGTTGTTGTGAAGGCCTTTTTAGAGTAATAGTAGCATTAATATTAAAAATGGGTTCCTCTTATTTTTAAGTCCTTTGTTTGCCTTGTTTGCTGCACAATAGAGCCATTACACTGGAAACGTACATGTATAAGCTACACCTCCGCTGACATCTACTGGTATGCCCTCCACCAAACCCGTAGGGAGAGCTCTACATATCAACCCTAGAGTAGGGGTTAAGAAGAATGCTAGCTGCTCTTAGCTTGGCATTTGTCAGCTCTTTATTGAATCTCTGCAGGAGGTGAATTCAGTCTCTTCATTCGTTCCACAGCTGTGTCAAATGAATGTCAAACTCTAGCAAGAATCTTTTAAGTGTGGCCAAGAGTTTGCAATTTTTCCTCCCGCACAAGCTCCACCTTTTATACTTAATTCACATTTTACTGAGACAATTATTCTATTAAAGCTTTCATTAATCTTAAGTCATTTCACTCTAAAACCAAGAACTGTTTGTTTTCCAGGGTATGATGGAGCAGTCAAAGCGCAGCAGTTTGTCAGTAGCCCGTAGCATCCTTAATCACAAACTTATTGGCAAGAAGCTGGAGAGCTACCTAAAGGTATGTGCCTTTTTTCTTTTTTTTTTCGTATCTTGTTGGTACAGATGCTTCTAAATAGATTACATTATTACACAAAGGTTGTTTTTTTTTTTATTTCAATTGATTTGAATCACAAAGTGAAGTCTTTATTTTAAAAAAAGACTTGTATACAGTAAATAAAATAATTATTGAACACAAATAATTTTTCATAGCAAACATATTTCTAATGGTGCTATTGATTATAATTACACCAGGTTTTTGTAATAACCCAAGTAATCTATACAAAGATCGAAACTAACACAAATGAGCTCAGAAATGTAGATAATGTATAACTTTGTAGAGGGAAATGGTACTGAACATGTTAACTATTATTATTTATTATTTTGCCCTAAGTCTTTGTCACTAATGACAGTTTTAAGGCGGATTTTTCACTGGCTGGAATGTCCACTCCTTTTTCATCTTTAAACTGGGAGAGTATGGTGGGAAAACGATTAGGACCATTAGAAACTGGCAGATTGACGATAACTTAAAGATGTATTGATATTATGATGACAAATTTGATTAAGTATTTATGTTGGGTTAAATTAAAATATTTTGTTTTTTTATTTTTTTGAGCGAGTCTTGTTTCCTTGTTTAACCCCTTATCAGTTGGTGGCGGTAATGCACTTTAACTAGTTTGCCAACCGCCATAAAAGACTACAAGAAGAAGAGAACCCTTTGCTTTACCAATTATGAGACCTTACTTGTGTGACAATGTGGTAAAAACCCACCTTAATGCCAGTCTGTTAGGGCCGATCCTACTGATTTAATTAGTACTAATGAGAGCAGAATGCTTTTCTGATCACTGATAGGTTTCAGCCATTCCACCTCTTTTCTGTCTGTTCAATAAGTTTTCCCTTTCATTTCACACATGCATAACTTGATTTCTAGGTTTATTTGTACTTGTTTCTTTCTACACTGGAAAAACAATCTAGAAATAAGTAAAGGTTTCTTAAATTAAATAGTGTATCTACTCTTAATTTGAGTAGGTAAATGAGATGATTAGCCAATGTAATGAGTATTTTTACTCTTAAAATAAGATAATTAGATAAAATGCACTGGAAATAAGAAAATGCGATTGTCTTTTCTTATGTTAAATGTAAATTGTCTTGTTCCATTGGCAAAATGTCTCTTTTACCTTCTGAATTCAAGAACGAATGCACTTATTTCAACAAAAAATGACTTATCTAGATTTTGATTTTTTTCTCCAGCGTATGTATCAGTTACTGTCATGTCAGTGGCCCCTTTAGAAATAATAATAATAATAATAAATCCAATTTGTACCGCACTTTTCATTAAGAAAAATCTCAAAGTGCTACACAGTGCAAATAAAATCAAAGATAAAAATCAACCATAAAAATCATGTGGTCAATAAAATCAAAGATAAAAATAAACAACATAAAAATCATGTGGAGGCAGAA